ATTAGATATACTTACAGCCATGTCACAAAAATATAGCTAGAAGTTGAATTAATGGATTCAATGAAAAACAAAAAATAAAAAGTGTGTGTGTGTGTGGGGGGGGGGGGGGGCAGCTTGTATAAGTTGAAAATGTCAGATGGTGAGAGCAAGAAATGTGGGGGATTTAAAGAGGGTTAAAAAAAAAACTTTAGAACAAGAATGAAATCAAAGTGATTTGTTGAATTCTCCTTTGATAAGCAAGTCATACAGTGTGTTTTCTTATGTGATGTGCACAAGAAAACACAAAACTCAGGGAGAGAAATAGAGTTTGAAATTAATACATTTTTCTATTGCCATCAATTCCCTAATATGCCCCACCAATCTGGTTTAATTTACTTATTTGCCCTTATTTGTTTTTGTTCAAAATTCAAATTTATAATAATAAAGTATAGATTTTGAATTTTTATTATTGTCCATAATTGTTATGATATGCTCGAATTTTTTTTAAAAAATTGCATCGAATCCATTTTAGATCATAAAAAATGTATTAGTTTGAGCTGAGGATCTTTCGGAAACAACATCGCTATTTCAGAGAGGTAATGATAATACTTACATATACGTTTACTACCCTCCTTGCAATTATTATTGTTGTAAGAATGAATTAGTTTTAGACTCTATAACAATATTTTTGAAGAAATCAAACAATATAGCATAATTGAATTGATTAAACAAAAACAACAAAACTCATATTTATACTAACTCTTTTATTTATTTGTGATTATTCCTACTAGAAGTGACCAATTCAAATTCAAAAGTATTTGCCACCTTTAATGTTAGTAAACAACTTTCTTAATTGATATGTCGCTTTCTTTTTTTAATCTTAAGTGGAAATTTGTATTACCAAAATTTTAATAAGATCAAAAGATTACTAAAATTTGTTGCTTGGCAAAATGGTTAGGATATCTATGAATGGCATGAAAAATCTCAAGTATATAGTAAGTTTTAAGTATGGTCAAATATGTAACTAAATTAATGTTCGTCAATAAACTTATATAGGAGGATTAAAACATTATTCTCTCAAAAAGAGGTCGTTTTGCATTTACTACACAATATTTTTGTCATTTGAAATGATATCTACTTTTTATATGCCAAGGTTTTGTTAAATATGCATTCCGAATCATATTTAGAGTGAGTTGATCTATAATGTAACGTTTATTTAAAATTATTGTACCGTGTGATTTTTTTAGGTTATGCTTTAGATATATTTATGTTGATTCGGTAAATTGAATTTCACTTGTATAAGTAATTCGGTGAATTATATTTTTTGTAAATAAGTTTAGCCCATAATCTAACGGGACGACACTTAAATAATTACTTAAAAAAAGTTATTTGTACAAAGTACTCTCAATTGAACTTATTACTTCTTGATTTTTATTATATATATATATATATATATATATATATATTTGTGTATCAACCATATGTAGTTCCAAACATATGAAATGAGGAACTTATGATGTGTGAACTTTTTGCCAAAATTAAGGAAGACATATGTATTATATTAGGTGCATAATAAGAGGATCATTTCATAATCATATGCTAAACTTTTTGTATCTAAGTCATTTTTCAAAGTGAATAAAGAGCATTTGTCAATATCTTTTAGTTTGTGGGGTATCCATTTATTCCATTGCACATGTTTGGGACAGAGGCTTCATACTTTATATAATAAGCAAAATTTTGATTTATTTCATTTCATTACACAATTTTATCTCTTTTCCTTTTTGTTCTTTTGTTCTTTTAGCCTATGCCATTTTTTTCTACCTCTTAATACTCTTTTTGTCTTTAAAAAATCCTTTTCTTGTTATACTCCTACCAAACAATTGGAAAATTATACACAAGTTTATTCTAATCCCATCAAAATCAACAAGGTGTTTCAACGGGTCGATTGGATTTTTAGTTTTTTTTTAAAAAAAATGATTTTAGTTTTGCGTCATTTTACGAGATATTTTTATTTTTACATATAAGACAGTTGAACATAACTCACGAGAGATCTTACACGGTTACTTCACTACTAAAGATCACTATTTTTCTCACTGAAAAATGTTCACGAACTATTTTCATAGATATTTTGATTGAATCATTAAGAACAAAAAAAATATATTTTTTTCCGTTAAACATTTTTTCAGTGAGTTGATTATGAAGAAATAAGTGGTAAAATCATGTTCTATAACACAAATTTCTTATTAATTCGCAGTGAAAAAATAATTCAAATGGTAAAGAATTATATATATGTATTCATCTACACGGTCTTAGCAGGAAGTCCAAATGAAATAGACTAATTATTATCATCGGGATATTCGTATATATATTGTATTAAATATTATTTAGTATATCAGCAAAATATAAACAACGTAAAAATGAATTATTGTCAATTAATAAGAAGGAAATTTGTTAAAATCTTGCCTAGTATCAATGATACAAAAACAAATAAAACAAATCTCATGTAGCAATTCTTAAAGGTCTAAATATCAAAATCAGCAGCACTGAAAAAGCAAAAAACAAAAGGTTTATTTTACTGATTGTCACTTTTTTTTGGTGTGTGTGGGGTGGGGGGTTCAAGGGAGTGATTTGAATTTAAACAAAGTTTAGTAGCACGATGTTGACATGATGAATATAATTAATAACGTAAACAAATAAACCACACACATGTATTAAATTAAATTATAAGAAATGCGTACAAGTTAAAGAATAAACAGATGTCACAAGGTCATTAATATTTTTTTTTTGTAGATTACAAGTTTAGGCATATTATTCACACACTTTGACTAACTTTATTTGGTTGTGGTTACGCATCTTAGATTATTAAGTGTATTTATTTATATTAATATTTATTTATTTGAATAGATCTTGAATAAAATCTTTAATATTATTAAAAAGATATATGTGAATAATTTGCATCACCATTCTATTCATAATAACCGGTCATCATCATTAACTCTCTTTTTTCATTATAACTATCACTATATTACCATCATCAACTACAAATTATCAACCATCTTTGTCATCACAATCATTGACGACTATCGCGGTTGTCAATCACTATTGACAATCGCTACCACACCAACCACATCCATTATTATAATTATGGAATTGTGATGGTTGATGATAATGCTAGTTATGATGGTTGGTAGTATGGATAGAACGAAGTGGTTGCAGTGGTAGTGGAGTGGCGGCGACGATAATAACGATGATATCAGTTGATATAATTATAATGATGGAGATGATATATTATAGTAGATGTGGTTAGTATTAGTGTTGTGTTAATGATTGACAAAGGTAATATTGATTGTAATTGCAAATGTGTTAGTGATAGTGATTGACGATTGTGATAGCAATGGTGATTAACAGAGGATAGAAGTAATTTTTAACGAAAAATATTCGACTAAGCTCCGCTCCTCTCCCGTTAACAATGTGTTCTTTTAACTGTTTAACACATAAAAAAAGGATAGAGGAATAGAATAAGACAGTCATATTATTGATGTGAAGAATATTTTGGAAAGGTGCACAAGGCCCTAGACTTAAACATGGGCTGTTTTGTGTATTTTATTTTTTAAAAATTCATAAATAAACGTGGTTGGGTATTTTCAGTCTATGAAGTGTGGGCCAGAAAATATTTTGGGCCCATTTTATGGGCCTAATGGGCCGGATTGTTTTTTATTAGATGGTGATTGGTGGGGACCTGTTTGCATTTTTCATGAAAAAACATTTTGAGACCAAAAATCCATTGATGAAGTAAGATAATATATTATTAAATTAGATATAAATATATATGTACTTTTTCTTAGTTATCAAACACAACAAGATTATATATTTATAGCATATCTAAAGAAAAGGCCAATGTGAACAGTTAGGAGTGTCTATGACTTTTTTAAAATAATGAAACATTAAATTTTTAGCCTTGAAAGTATGAATTTGATTAACATAAGAAAACTAAATGATTAATTCATGTTCATAGGTCAATTTAACTAACCAAAATAAATTAATATATGTTCATTTATTGAAAACTTGACTACAATAGAACACTAAATAAGGGATATAATGGTAAACTTATCTAATGTCTTAAGGGACGTAAACTCTAAATATGGTGAAATAGGAACGGAGGGAACATCTTGTAAAACAAAATTGAAAACTAATAATCATGAAAATCTATAGGTATTTTTGAAATTCTCATTCGCGCATATGTTGGATAGGAACATAATACTCCATCCGTTTCACAAAGAATGACCTCCTTTCCTTTTTAGTCAGTTTAAAAAAGAATGACCTCTTTCCTTTTTTGGTAACATTTTACTTTTTGCTTTCCACGTGACATGTTTAAGACCACAAGATTAAGGGCAATTTTGTACATTTGACATAACATTAATTTAGGACCACAAGATTCAAAAGTCTTCTTTATTTACTTAAACTCCGTGCCAAGTCAAACCAGGTCATTCTTTATGAAACGGAGGGAGTACTTAACAAAAATACTTTGTTTTAACTAAGTTTGAGTATTCTTTATTTAAACAAGGTGTTTAGTTTATATTTTGTTCACTTTCACATTTTATGTTTAAAATTGGGTGTTAAGGTTCTCCTATCTAGATGTTAGAGTAGGTTCAGCCGACTCCATGGTTTGAATTGTGATACGTGTAGGCAAAAAAGTAAGTCAAAATAAACTAATTTGACAAGTGTCACTTCTTAATTGGATACTATACAATTAATTGATCATAAATACATATCATAATGAGTTTTAATATGTTTTTCTGCTAAGTAAATAGAAGTGATCAGTTTACAGATTTTGTAGGAGATACATTTCGTTGAGGAATTAGGTGAAAATATAAGAAAGATCATATAATAACAGTATTGTCCAAGTTAGACGAACTTCTTTTCTTTGGAAAAAGATAAAATATCAGATTTCTATCAATGGTAGTCAAAGACTACAAGAGCAATTTGAGATGGAAAAACCAGAGAGACTAAAAGTATAGTAATTGATCATTCGAAATGCAAAACTTGTCTATATAAGCTACTTGCATCTGTACTAAAAGCAATTATAGATTGCTTGTGTTGAGAGGATGTACAATTGTAATAAATCTTTGATTCTAAATGATAATGAATGGTGAAGCAGAAGGTTAGTCAAGGTTCATCGGTATCACTTCCTCCGAGCTGAGCATCTTGAAGTATTGAATAGTTGCTTCCATCTGGACCCAAGATCTTAAACCTACTTAGCAAAAAGAACCAAAATAACTCAATAGGTGTTTGGACAATGTTTGGTTGAAAGCTGGAAAAAAAATTACTTCAAGTTGAAGTCGTAAACAAGTATTTGGATGATCAGGTTGTGTACATGACTACTTGCAAATATTGACTCTCAAAATCATTATTATTTGCTAACTGCAGATAATAAGTGAAATATTGTGTATGTCTAAAAGTCTTGATGTATGATCAGACACCAAAAGTAAGGTAAAAGAAACACTACAATACCTCTCAAGGATGAACCTCCCTTCCTTGTACTTTTGGTCTTTCTCTTGCGCAGCTTCCTGAAATTATTCAGTCGATATTGGTATAGCATATCAATATGATAACTAGAGCAGAGACAAAAAAAGTCGAAGACTATTGCAGAGTCAGGAAATAGTAGATAGGAGACTTACATATTTCCACCCCACAATAGAGCCACATCCTACACAGAATATGTCAACAACAGTGTGCATTCCAGTCAGCATCACCCGCTCTTCTTTTTCTCCAAGAGTAACATTCACACTGCAATGCCAGTAAACGAGTAAAACATAATATACACTCTTGCAAGTGGAAAACATGTTATAGGATACAGTGACTAGCCACATTTTCTGCCATTCCGCAATACATACTTCAAGAAATGAGTTTGGCTTTCTATTTGAGACAGGATAAGAAATTCTATTACTTCAAACATTGAAGCAAAATCCCAGCAGAAAGAAGTAATAATTAAAGTAATAGGGGAAATATTTATACAAATTTATAGGAATTTAGTTTCCCAAAGTTAATCTCAACCTTCAAGGCCCCTCCCTGCATTAGCATTAATAGAGTTAGAAAATCCATCTGAAATAGTAGGTTATATTGAACACTTACACTTTATCAAAGAGGTAAGCCTTCCCATGCCTGCATTGAAATGACTGGAGAAAAGGGTGAAGGGCAGAATTAGGATACATGCCTGAGGTCGTATACAGATAATCCACGCCAGAAAGAATCATAGTACAATCTAAGTTACCAATTTCAAAAAGAATCATAGTACAATCTAAGTTACCAATTTCAAAAAGAATCATAGTACAATCTAGCCAGTTTCCAAATAGTAGCATGAAGACAACATATACCAGAATCCAGCAATAGTACTACTCACAACAATTATATATCATACATAAGAATACAGAAATGGTACCATTTAGGAATAATTCACTAGATAGCCTAATCTGAAACAACAACAAGCAATTAACCAACCTTGGCACACAGCAAATCTAGTCAACTCCACCTGAGGCTGAGTGGTAATGCTTTTATATGAAATAGCAGATTGCTCTACTTGTAAACAGAGAAAAAGAAAGAGAGAAAGAGGTTGGTATGTCTAATGAAGGATATTGAGTCTCATTGGACAGATATACTGAAAGTAAGGTCATATTTCATTCATCATGTACAGTGTATTATAGATTTAACTTTTAACAACAGATTTCCAGATTGATCCTTTATTTAGTCGTTACATCTTGTACACATCAGTCAGAGATTTGCATTGGTCTGCCTACTATGGTACATCTGAAGAAGTTGCTAATAGCAAGAATACAACAACATATCTAGTGAAATCCCATAAGTGGAATATGGGGAGGCTACAGAGGCTGTTTCTGAAATACCCCTGGCTAGTGCAGTAAAAATCCAAGTTAAAAGAAGAAGAAAACTTAGCAACTAATAAGGAAAGCAATGCAGAGCCTACAAGAAAGGAACAATAACAACAACAAAATAGTACGATAACCAAAAAACGAAAACAACCGATGACGATAGGTATCAAAAGTAAAAACTACAAGAATACGACTAGTACTGCGACAAACACCAACAAGCCTAACCCTCGAAAGGCAAGACAACACTCCACTACCTACTGCCTACTAACTTTCTACCCTAATATTCGACCTCCACACCCTCCTATCTAAGGTCATGTACCAGGTAATCTGAAGTTGCGCCATGACCTTAGATATGCTGGACATACTACAACAAGCACCCAACATCCAATTCAAACCAATTTTTTTTAAGGATACAGAACAAGGAAAGAATCATATAGCAGTACTATAAAACATATTCTCTAACAATTAGTAACAAACTGAAAGTCCAGATCACAACCCCCATAGTACAAACTATGGCATATTAATGTGCAAACACTCATGATTCTTGACAAAAAAACACAGCAAAATATTAACTGTCAATTTATAGTATGACAGAAAAATTAGTTATTTATAGGAAGCAACAATCTGCAGCAAACTTATGTCAGACAACCTAGTGTAGGAGAAAACAAATCTTCAGCAGGCCTCATTAAGATTACGTTCATTTCGGACATTATCAAGCCCGACATATCCAAACAGACTAACTAAACTCAGAGCCAGAATTTCAATCATTGAAAGTTTTAGTTCCAAACTTCAGAAAAAACATTAAACAAGACATCAGTCCAAATTTGACACCGCAAAACAGACTTCATATAGGCCACCCAGCTTCCTCTTGCATAGTTTGCATCTTCCATAATGCTTGTTCTACATAAAAGAAATCCAGCTGAATACCATTCATTTTCATCTATCAATTCAGAGTTTGAGAAAGGTATACAAATAGCATGCATATTACAAGTTTTTGGAATTCAAAAGTAAATAATGCCTCCAATCCATCTAATATGGATGTACAGTACTTGAGTGGGTATAAAATTTAAGTTATCAATTGGACTTCATAGTAGAGAAAGATATCAGCTTGGTAGAGAAAACATCACTCAAACTTTAATACTAGAGTAGGTAAATGAATTTGAATGATGAAAATTGTAACCTTATCAACAACAATTGCAAAGTCGTGTAGACTGTAGAATAATATTATTAGATGGTGTCAAACAATTTGGACATAACAAAAGAAGTGCCAGGTAAATTTGGACAACAGGGATAGCCTACTAGGATTAAGACAATTAATATCCACACTAAGCTGAGATAAGGTACAGAAACGTTAGTACGATAAAGGATTTGGTAAAAACACACAATAAAAGAAAAGGAGGCACGAAGTACACAATTTCAGAAACCAAACAGATGATGGAGAAACCAGAAAGATGGATGATCATTTCTCCACGAAGCTGACACCATGCCATAAGAGAAAAATCAGGACCCTTGTGTATGTCTTAGTAGCTTGACTACAGATATTTTGCCACTTGCGAGCAAATTGAAACAATAATTTTATGAACCACCTGTAAAGGTATTTAGACAGAATACTTCCTTCTAAAACTAGACTGAAGGATATCTCAGAAGACAGGAAATAAAAGAGTTAATGAAACTGCAGGCAAGAAACATCACTGCATGATTAAGAATTTATGACATCCCTTTCACTAGAAAGCAATAAAACTTTGCTAGATGGAACATAATCTTGAGAAGGGATTAGTCCAATCTTGCACCATCCTCAAGCAGCTAGTTATAAGTCAAGGCACTAGGACGTAACAACAGTGGGAGCAGTTAGATATAGTAGACAGGTGAACTAAAGAAGTATTCAAGCACTCCCGAAAAAATGAATGCTACTGAGAGGACATGGATGAGTGCGGCAATTATAACTGCTCCCTGCACTCTAGACACCTAAATATCTCAGAAGTTCATGAACTAAGTCCTTAATGACTGCTGTTTCACACCCTCTGCCTCCATATAATCCACAGGTTAAACAAATAAGAGCGCCTGCTACCTATCAATCTTAACCATGTTTAGCTACCCGTTTCCCCCAGTCCACACCCTGTGACCTGTTCAGACACTGAGAGTTCCAAGGGGGAAGATATACTAAGTTAGAAAATTAACTTCTTTCTCCATTTGCAACCATGTACCAAGTTTCATGCAGCTACATTAGTCCTTGTACAACATATTAGTTAGTCCAAAACCCGGATAAAGAGGACAATTTCTTCTAGCAGAAAAGTAACAATTCAACTGTCACACATAAACCAACCAAATGTTGCAAAAATGAAAAACTCCGCCTATGTACAAAGTATAGTACTATAGTTTAGCATTGAGTATTGCCCAACAAATTGTTTACCAATGACCCAAAAATACGAACTTTCTACTTATGTTGAATTATAATCAAATAAATTTAACAACCGGATAAAAGAGGAAGATTATAGTAGGTTGATGGTTGGGTAAAATCAAACAACAATAAAGATGAAAATTATCTGAAAATTATAGGATTGAAATAGTCGACCCCAACTAATTTGGCATTAAGACTCGAAGCCTAACTCCGCCCCTGAAGGCTATCATGCTATATATAATATAAATAACAACAACATACCCAAATAGAACCCTTGGCTCAAGTTCGCAAATTAAAGTAGTTATGTTATAGATATAAATAAACAGAAGATGAATATAAAAAAGATAAAAGAGAGACCTTAGACATAATGTGATCAGCAAGACCAAAATGAGTTTTACAGTACTTGCAGCTATAGATGTTTCCTTCAAGAGTGATTACAAAAAGCCTACCCATCCTCTTCGATCAAACTAAAACCCCTTCAAAATAAACAAAGTTAGTGTCAGCAAAATCAAGAAAAACCCAACAATTGATCAAAATAAGAGTAACCCATTGCAGAAAAACACAAAAGAGAGCAACCCAATTGATATTACCTTTTGCAGCAGAGAAGAAAGTAATCGACCGGAATTGTTGAGCCAAGTGTTATGCATCTATTTATACATGCGAAAAAAAAACTTTTCATAAAACCCAATACGAATTTAACTCTTTTTTTCTTTTTCTTTGCAATTTGTTATTTGCATGATTATATTTACACTTCCGCCCCTCGTCGTTTCATATTACTCTTTCTTCTTCTTTTTCTTCTTTTTAGGGGCAAAGACTATATATTCATATTAAAAAAAGGAAAGTGTCTAGCATAAATCGAGATATTAGCAGTATTTATTACTTCTTCCGTTCTTTTTTAGTTATCATGTTTTTTTAGAGTCAAACGATATCAACTTTGATTAATATTTTTAAAATGTACTTTTTAATCATATTGATATGAAAAAATTGCTACTTATAGTAATTTTCATATAGTTTTTGAAATCTAATTTTTTATTTTAAAATATCAAATTAATATAATCTAATTTAACTTCTTTAAAACATAACATGGCAACAAAAAAACCCAGAGTGAATAACTAATTTAGTGTAAGCATTTTGCATGTGCGTCTTATATCAATCAATAAGATTTAGTGCTTTAAATAGATTATATTTAAAGCTAAGTAATGGGGGAAATATGAATGTGAATTAAGAGTGTGCAAATAAATACACTCTTATTCACATTACTTCTTTAGGATAAAACAGAAAGATAACGCGTAATTCATAAACAAATAAATACATGCACTTTAATCATATTTTGTAGTCCTTTTCAATTTCTAAAAAGAGGATAATTAAATAAAGATTCATACTTTACGCACCTCATGAGCACAAGAAAAACGCAAGTATTTGTGATTTGGTCGGAGGCCATCAATTTTAATTTGCACATAATTTTTTTGAAATAAAAGGAAAGTAACATTAATAGAAAATGAATATTTTTCCAACAAGAAAAATCAGACAAATTAACAAATTCTAGCCTCCTTATATAATATTCATACGAGTTTTTTTTTTTGTAAACAAACATTAATAAAGTTACGTAAAAAGATCAAAATTGCCCTTAAACTATGCGAAATAGACCATTAGTACGCTCCACTACATGTTGGATAAAAGAAGCCCCAATACTATCTCAAGAGACAGCAAATACCCTTTAGAATTAACCGCCCAAATTAATAGTGATGTGGCGAGCCAGGACTAATCCCTCCAGTAAAATTTAATTGGACAAATCAAATTATTATTGTATTTTCCACCCTATAAAGAAAAAAGAATCACCTTCGGATGGTTCTGAAAAACCATTCTAAGTAAAAATTAATTACAATTCCTCCCCATCAGTTGTGGCAGTATAATTAGATAAATCAAATAATTCTCTAGAAATAATAGGCTGTTTCCGAAAGGTCCTCTGCTCAAGTGCAACAAATCCATATACAGTGACGAGAATATAGCAAATAGCAAGGTAACAGTTCAAAGTCCGACGAAAAGGAGCAGAAAACAACAATACAATAGTCTAAAGTTGAAACATTGATTCTGTGCTATAAACAACAATGATTATGCAGGCTATAATACAATTCAAATCAATCAAATTGAAATCTAACATATACTCAAAATACAATTAGAAAGGTGTTAGGCTCTTTGGTGTCATTCTTTCAACTTTACCAACCCGGTGAGGAGGCCACACAACATGGGTAACCCTTCCACGAACCAAACCAAGAGGGATCTGTAAAAGAAAGTTTTTCAAGTCAATCAAACTAATCATCTGAGCTAGACGAAAGCTGATTACAAACACAAATAAGGTCACACTAACACTCTCGTTCTCAGAACTCCACTCGTTCTCTCCTTTCTTACGCACCACATAAGATATAGCATTGACAGGGTATAATCTGTGTTTTACGTTAGGATCTATAATGAGCAAGTAACTTTTGGACAAAATAAGTCTAAAAGATCAACTTATTCATATGCAAAGATAGGCATCCTAAGTTTTCATCCAAGAAGCTGTATTTTCGCTGAACACATAATCTTACTAAGTGATTCATTAAAAGTAGAATGAATATAGATATAAAATCACCAACTCCTCACACAAACGGGAAAAGTTTAACACTTCATACTAGGATGTCCAAAAGTTAAATTCACCCCTTCACCACAAAGTGAGTAGGAGGCAAGGTCAAAAGAATGCCGCATTTAGCAATTTATGCCAATATGATTGCCAATTCTATTGATCTTGTATGTCACCTACATTAGCTAAAGTTTCTTAATGTAACCTTGTATTAACTTTACAAAGTATATTGGATTCTTTCTATGTTAAATTCCTCTTCATTAGCAGAAGAATATGGAGTAATATGTAACGTACAGGGCCAAAGGATCTTGAGTCCAAGCTCCAAGCCTGATTGTCGCCTTCAACCCAACAATGTCCTTCAGGGATCACTACTGCATCATAATGAGGGGTACTGACCAAGTCACCAGGTAAGGCTGTTATTCTCTTTATATTTTTCTCTTTATGATTAGTTGGAGAGCTGAAATGAAGGCCAACCACAAATCAGACAATTGGTGCAAAAGATGGTTAAAGAATATTAGAATATATTTAATTTCCAATAAACAAAAAAACATTAACTGATTATACACTGGAATCTGCTCTAACTCGGAAACAAGAGAGGTGTCCACTTGGACCATAATATTGAATTTTGCTGGCACAATTTATCAAAGACCACTTGAATTATAGAAGATAACATCTTAAAAGTATAAAATCTGATGACTTGATACTAAGAATTTACCACTGGTTGAAAAACAAATATCTCACATGTCACAACTTAGAATGGACTTCGAGAGAGACGTTTAAGGATGGGAAGAGCCAAAATGTCGAACAAGAGCTGATCACAGATAAAAAGATTGTTCTTCAGGTCAAACGAGGTCTGATATCCAGCACAAGTTACCAGTGCTCATCAACTGAGTGGAAGCAGGTCATCTTGATTGATATATTAAATTAACTTTTCTAAAGACACCAAGAACATAACTTTGAGAGCAATGTGTGTTAGAGGCCCTTAAGGTATTACAAAGTAGGCCTTCTAATGCACTTAACTCTTTAAGAATAAAAAGTGAGTATTGGCCGAGGTGCACGCAAGCTGGCCTGGACACCACGGTCATAAAAAAATGAAGACTGAGTATTCCACCAAAAAGAGGTATTAAAAACAACAGAGCTTCTGATCTTTCTTTCGATTTTATCTTCAAGAGAAATTCTCCATAAAAACTCAATATAAATATGTATGCTTTTCCACTAATGACTTTTTCAAGCCTTGGACTTGCTTTAGTTACACTTGCTATGGATGCAAGAGCATATACTCAGTTCAAAGGAGCTTTGTAGTAGCAGGAGATGTCATTGGAAATCTATGAGCTAGTCACAGGAGCTATGTCAAGAGAGTAAAACATAAATTATGAAACTCTATTCTCTGTCACAATGGGATTTATAATTAAAAGTAAGATATCTAAATCAGCAAATACGATATCAAAAGTTGAGTACTACGATGTACTACATTGGAACCAAGAATATCTATTCCATGGTCAGATGCATCAAACCTTCCAAATGAGAAGTGTGGACCGAGTATATCTCACATTCCAAACAGTACAAACATATTTGTAAGGTCTGAAAGTCTAACAATGAAACTTGAATAACCAACTATGATAACATCCAAACAAGTAACTTAAGCCATACTCCCACCAGGTTAGTGAATGATATGTTGCAGGGACTCTCCAAAACAGCTGCAACAACTGTGTCGGATCCTCCAAAAATGCACTACTTTTGGAAGATCTGACCTGCACTCATTGACTCTTTTGGAGAGTTCAAGCAGCAACATGAAGTGAATCAACAAAAATAAATAAGATGTAGACCGGTCAAGCGATTACTTGAGTCAACAGAAAAACAACCTTGGGGCAGCTTGTCAAGAGTTACCTGAAGACAACCACATCGCCGAGGGAGAACTTGTATTTTTCTAGGCAAAGCTTCTCCACTACAACAAAGTCACCTGCACCATAATGACTAGCTGATAGTTTCATCCATGCCCACAGCACAAAACTTTAAGAACTTAAAAGAGAGAAAAAAGAGTAGTTACGAGTCAAGGCTCTCATGGAACTATCATCATGTGGATTAAATGTAGGAGACATTGAAATGCCACCAACAGGAACAATACTAGCATAACGATCAGAGACGGTAAGGCCTATGAGCCCAAAGGTGAAATAATTCTTAGTTAAATTCCAGATGAAATTCACAGTTCCCATAATCGGCCTTAAATCATCTGTCACACTGTTCAAACCCAAGAAGAGATTTTAAAAAAATCAGCAAATATATCTTTCCAAAGTAAGCATGTTATCAATCCTATTTCAAAATATGCAGTGGTTTAACACTGTGAAAGACTTCAATCAACTTCTCATCAATCCCAAACTAGTCAGGATCTATGTTGCTCAGACTCTTCAGAAACGTCAACAGGTGCGTGTCGGATCCTCCAAAAGTAGTACATTTTTGGAGGATCCGACATGAGTGCTGCAGCAATTTTGGAGAGTCCGAGCAACTTAGGTCAGGATGAACCCCTATATCTGTTTACGCCCATGTCATCCCACCCCACATTTTCATAGAATTATCTCTTTAAAATAGTTGCAACAACTGCAATGTAATTTTGGTCCAACAAAAAGGAGCATATATTATCTGGCACTATCTGCAATTAGCTAAGCATGAATTTAGCGCACATTAATCACTAGGAGTTGAGTAAACCCATCAATAATTATTCTAGAAAAAGATAAATCCGCAGCTATCAGCAGAAGCTAGACTTTTTCTTGTATTTATTATTTCTTCCTGCAAGGTAACAACTTTAACAGCTAGTTCCAACCCAATCCTCTAGTAGACGCTTGCTGAATGGTAAATTCAATCAAATTAATTGAGCATCAGCTATATAACTCATCTGTATGCGCCTCACTCTATTTAAGTCTTATCTTTCTAGGACTAATAATGCAAACATATCATAATAACTTTACTGTTACATGAATCAACTAAATAGAAGGGAAGTAAGGCATACAGATGATATAGAGCCACTGGTTAAGAGAGAAAGGAACAAAATCGAAGGGAAGCTCCGGCAGCCAATGATGGTTATTGCTGATGAAGAGTGATGATAGAAGGATAGAACAATCTGGGCCTACTGTGGACTCTAAATGGGTCTGCCAAAGCCAGTGGATTGGTTTGCTGGGCTTGTGTCAACAAGCATATCAACTTAAAACAATCTCTACATAAAAATAAAAACAGAAAAAGTAAAGTTCAAAGATAAATAATTCTAGTAGTTACTATGTAGTATATTTATTTCTAACTTAAAATACTATTCGAGAAAATAATTTTTCTTTGTGAATATTAGTCCAGGCCTGTAACTCTTATATTTAATCAGCCTTTTTATTAATTATATACTTATACTAGATGTAGCAAAGCCGGTGCTAGCATGGGCCCAACAATTTGAAGTGGAGATTGATCAGCTAAATCAAATTCCATAATAGTCCTTACAATCTGGACAGTCTCACACCTTTGACAAAGAACCAGCAGAAAGCATGAAATCTTACACATTATTGGTCAAAGAAAGCTCATCCAATTACGATAAAAGTTTATCTATAAGATTTTAGTGAAAGAATATACATTCCATTTTAAGAAATTCCTCGAATAGCAAGAAATAAACATAAGATAGAGCTCTCCAACAATAAGAAGGTAAAACATAAATGTCATACTGACAAAAGAGCTCATCACTTTTTCCCCTCTATTCCACGAGTAATTAGTTCCAACTTCTGAACAACTGTCAGACCACAATATGTAGTGTCTTAGCTTGCTAAGAGATTGTACACACAGAAATAATGGCTACCAGTTTCTTAAGCTAACAGGACATGACCATCTCTATTTGTGAGAGCGTTCACAAGAAGAGGGAAGTTTGAAGAAACAAAATGCTTTAAATATACTCAAAATGGAAGTCTAAGCTAGCAAATTGCTTCAATAAGCTTCTCAAATTCAAACTTCTGTTTTGCCCTGCGATTCCTTTCTTGGTCAAAATTTGAGTTATTAGTTCCACCAAGACAAAAACAGAAAACTGACATCATTTTTAAGGAAAGTGAAAATGCAGATATATGTGAAACAAAATGCATAAAAATATCACATGTTCATTGTATAGTGCTTCATTGGGAAATAATATCTAGAATAGCATGTTAGGGAAGGAAATGTAAGGGAAGGAAAAATAGAGTCCAAGAGGACTCGGATGGATTTCACATGCAGCAAAACAAAGATAAAGATTAGAATACCAAAAGAGAAGGAGGAACTGGATCGAAATACTTCATACAATTAACAATAACCAAACAATGATTTAGACTACATCAGATGCACGGAAATAAACCAGGAAAGCAAAGAGAGGAGCTGCTCACTTAACTAGCTAATACCATTATTGACTTTATTTAAGGTGAGCAGTAAAGGGGAAGGCTTAAACAGGCTTTTCACTACTATCGTGAGGATTTTCAAAAGCTAACTATGATAACCAACTAGCAGTTAACCCAAACAGTGAATTATTATATAACTAAATAGGAACTAAAGATGGGAAAGGAACCAACAAATCAACCAACTGAAACATTCGTCAAAATTTAACTCTAAACAACCACTTTTAATTAAAAACGATTCAATTCATACAAGGAATCTAGCAATACAGAACAAGTAATCATTCACAATATTTCTAAGAAACTATCACCTTGACACTCTAACGTAACAAACAAAATTAATCACTGACGGAGGGATCAAATTCTATGTAAAGAGTAGGAAGGCAGTGATGAAGCTATTTTTATGTTATTGAACACGCTACTTAGGAGCTTTCTTAATAAAATTAGCAGCCAAATGAGACAAGAAACAGATGCTATGATTAGAAAAAAAAGGCAACAAATAGAGACACATTTCAGAGACGAACTAACAGTAAACAAGGGAGCCAAGTCGAAACAAGATTATGGTGGACTACCACTATAACTACTAGCTGAAATGCACAAGATAAAGACAACATTCAAATTGCAAGAAATAGAGACAAGCTCTGCGATATTAAGCTAGCACATATGAGAATTCAAAACGACAGAGAAGACAGCCAATGGCACAAGCGAACCATGAAGAAAAGAAGCCTGTATAGCTAACACATTCACAGTCTATATCGAATGAACATCAAACTATTTTAAGCATAATGAGTCAGAGTTTCAGCCGACTTCCTCAAAATAGAATAAAATGAACCAACAGTAAGGAAACTCAAACTTTTAACTAACGAATTGTAGGCTTAAATCATACACGAAGAAACACATTTTTCATCTTCAACAACTAAAGAGAAACGCCAACTGAAGCCAAACGATCCACTATCAGATTTCAACAGCAGACCACAAAGAATAGAAAACATGAGAGAAATAACAGAGAGTTTCAGTTCTCAAGCGAAACATCAACTAAAAACGAGCGAAGATCAAAAGAAATTTACCTTTATGGGAGCAGCGAACTGGAAAACGAGCTAGCGACAACGATTCTCCACCACAAGCCAAGCTTCACCAGATTCCGACGAGCTCCAGTGGACAGTGAACAAAAAGGGAGATACTAGCTCTCTTTTCAATTCGCGAGCTGGGCTCGTCGAACGATGTACTGTTTTTTTTGTGGTATCGCTGATGGGTACCTCTATCGTTTGTTGGAGTTGGAATTGAATTGGGTCGATTGTATTGCTGAAGTTATTGGGCCTCAGCTGGGAATTGGGTCGGCTGAAGGGTAATTCAATTTAAGCTTTGGCCATGTGAATCTAAATTATTGCCAATTGGAGAGCCAAATTTAGTTAATTAGGATAAGTTCGGCTAGTAATTAAATAAGATAAATTGATATTGATTAGTTAACATTTTTTTAAAATTTAACGAAATAATTATTTAATTACAAACTAATTGACTCAAAGTTATAACTATAATTTAAACTAAACTAAATTAATAACATAATCAAGTAAAATCTTTTTGAGATGATTTTTAAATATTTAAAATATATTAATTATATAAAAACATATTTATTATTATTTAATAGGAAAATGAATCCAGGATTATTGCTCTGCTTCAGTAATTTTTACTGCAACGATTATCAACGAATCTAGAGAAATGCTCAAGAAACTTATGATGATTATACATTTCCGATTTACCATCTATCAAGCTGATTAACTTCACAATCTTGCAGCTATGGCATTGATAAAGACCATAAAAAAATATACTACTGTAGCTTCTAATTTGAATTCGAGTAAATAGATACAAAAGTGTTTTAGACATTTTCATAATGGATACAATTTTTATACTTGATGATTAAGAATTTTAGAATTAATGACTTAGTGAGTAAAGTATTGTATATAAGATATTCGAACTTATTTGATAATCACTATTTTTAGTTTTTACTTTTCTTTTAAATTTAAATTGAATAGCAATTATAAGAGCAATTTCTAATACTTGGTGATTAAAATTGGTAACGTTAAATGAGTAAAATATTCTTTGTACCCATACTATTTTATAATCAAGGGAGAAGAATAAGGGGAATAAACATATTTGTACCCATATTATTTATATATAAAATATCCTTTATTTCTTTAAAAAAAAAGAGTATTTGTTTTAATATCTTTGTTCTTAACTTTACATTGGTTACCGGATCTAGTTTAAAGGACCCATTCCATGCTAATGTGAAAGTTCTACTTAGCATTATTGATGAAATAATCACAACTGATATCAGGGAACTTAAAGTTAAGCCTTTCTCATGTCAAGTATTGTGAAGCCATATTAATATTATTGTTGTCCAATTCCAATTATAATGTCGTTATCGTTTAATGCTGAACTTAATCTTATGTCCATTGTGAATGAACAACAGTTATGAATAATGCAGTCTAAAGAAAAAGTAGAATCATGAACATTTGAGCTAAAGATAATGAATGATGATAAAATCAAACTTAGCTTAATTAAACAACAAGTCTGATATAGGCTTCTCCTTGAAATAGTGTCAAATTAATGTTACAATTTTTACAAGATGAAGATGAATATAATATACGTAAAAACCATCCTCAACGAAAACCATGCATGCATGTTGCTTAAGAGAAGAATCCGAAGGTGTCGAAAATGGTAGTGTGAAGCGGGTCACTCAAGTGGGTAGCCCAGTTGTTAAGTGGGCCTTTTCCAGTAGCAGCAGCTTGGACAGCAAAGCCCAAGAACCCAACCATGGCGAGGCGAGCATGCTTGATCTCAGCGAGTTGAAGGGTGGCCTTTTTCTCCGGGTCAGCAGCAAGGCCCAATGGGTCGAAGAATGATCCACCTGGGTAAAGCCTTTTTTCTGGGTCAAGCTCGCCGTTCCTTTGGAATTCAATGTATCCAATCACAAGAACCTCAATCCAGATCAATGTTGTAATGGAGAATGGGAGTGGTTGCCCTAAGTAGGATGATCCCTCAACCAACTCAACCTATGCAAATCGTTTCACTAATTAGACGGTAGAAACTTTCATACTCAAAATTTATATATATTAAATAGCATTATATGTATGTGCTTCCATATAAATTTCTATTAATTAATCACGAATATGCTCACCTTACTAGCTAAAACATATTTAATTATAACAAATCAATATTGTTTGATGTACTAACTATTTAAGGAGCAACAAATATTTTTACGTGCAATTAATCTAAATTACGTTACATCTGAATTATATATAGTACCCTTTTCCTTTTAATTATTTCTAGAAAGGGAAGCAACAAATACTAAAAAGCAACCTAAACGAGTGAATATAATTAATTGTCAATCTGACTCTGATGGAGAGAACTTATAGGCTAAATCATACTCCTTGAAAATTTTATTTATTTATTCTAAGAAGTAAAAATTGTTATTTTTTTCTTTTAACCACAGAAAACTGTTTTTACTTGTATATAAAAACAATTTTACTGATCGTTTTATTTTAAAAGAGTGAATTTTGACCTCCCACTAGGACAAACAGTCTCCAAGTTTGACTAGTTAGTGCTACTTTAAGAGAAATAAATTATTACTATTAATTTAGCATAAGTGAACAAATAAAAAGATCGATGCGGCGAGAATATAACATATATGAAAGGAAAGAAAAACAACAAAATAGAAAGCATGCAGGAGAGTGAGGACTTGTTGAAAATGAAATAGGGATCAAATGCAAGCAAGCAATTACCACTACGCCTATTATTCTTCAGTGACGATCTACATATATAAATTTCATATAAACATTTTCATTGCATATAAAGGATATTGAAACAGTACCTTTCCGGCGTCTTGCCATGTAATACCAGTGAGCCACTCAACAGTGAGTGCACCAAGAGTAGCCAACATAGCCCATCTTCCATGGATCAGTTCACATTCTCTGAACCTCTGTAGCCCAAAAACCTCACTGTAAGGCTGAAACGGAGTTGATTTCACATCAGCAACTTCAGTTCTCGTTCCAATAATGTCACCAGCCAAATTCTTCGCCAAATTCTGGTCCAACGAATCCAAATCATATTGCAAATACTCCGCCGGTTTCCCCAAACCGAACGGATCGAATCCGTAGTCACCGACAAGGCTTCCGTCTAGATACTCCGGTGACTTAGCTCCTGGGTACCACAACGGTCTGTCCGGAATTTGCTTCTTCGCAGCCTTCTTCGGTGCGGCTTTTTTCTGTCCGAATCCGAATCGGGCTTGGACTCTACCGGCACCGGAGTGGATTTCCGGCAGCCGTGTTCCGATGAATGAGGATGTAGCTGCGGCGGTGGCCATGGTGGAGCTAGATTAGGGTTATGGAAACTCGATCGGCGAATTAATTGGGATGTGATGGAAATGTAGAGAGTATAGTTGGTTATATTGGTGAAGAAGGTACTGATTTTTAATATATGGAAGAGAGGATTTTGAGCGTTGGATGAGAAGATGGATTGATCGGACGGTTGAAAATGAGTAAAGCCTTATCTACTTCTTATCATGGCTGATTTTCAGGGGTGTGTTTGAAGGACACGTAGGATTTGAAGTCTTGTGGTTGACATGTAACATTGGAGATTAGAGTTGAGTGAGAATATCTTGTATTTTTTGGGACCATGTATAATGAAAGAAAAGTGATAGGATTGGTGGGCTTCTGATTTTCATCTTAGTAAGATTGAAACCACGGATGGGTTCGAATGAACTCAATAATTTTGACAGATTAAGTATTTTAATATTTAAATTTGGAGTCTCAAGTTAAATTTTGAATTCGTAAACCACTAACGTCTACTATTGTGTTCAAAGGATTCACAATATATATATATATATATATATATATATATAAAAGAAAAAGTAAAAAATTACCATGTATATATAGTGTCATTTTTTATCGAGTGATTACCCTCGGCCCCCTCTAGATCTATCCTTCTTTATATTTATATTACAAAATTATTAAATATGTATAGATCTTTTAATTGTGAATTGAGTAATTATGAGGACAATGAGTTCGATGGTAAATTCAGAATTTATGAAGTTTAGTTTCTAATTTCATCTCTAAATTGTCACATATGTGGAGGAGAAAAGAAAAAGAGAGTTTCTTGTCATATAGTTACCTACTTAATACTATGATTTTTTTTTAACTAGAACATAATATAATCATTTTGGTTGTTTGATTTATCGGCTTGTTGTTTATTTTCTTCCATAATTCCTTTATTGCTTTGCGCAATTTTTCATTTATAAATAAGGTAAGTTTATTAGTATTAACTATTAACCAGTACCAAGGAGGATTATAGAAGTAGGAACTTTAATTAATCAAAGTTGATGGATTGGATCTAACAAATAGATATGTTGTTCACAGTTGATTCTTTTGGCTTATTTTGCATATGAAGATACTAATTTATAGGAAATGTAAATTTAGAAGAAAGATGTTAGAAGAAGGTGAGAGTTTAGCTTTTCAATAGAAGCATCATATTATATTTACTACAATCGTTTTAAAATCGCTACATGCCTGGTTTTTAGTAGTTGTATATTGATCGTATGAGAAAAAATCGACATTAAAATATTGAATGGATGGAGATCTTCTCAATTGAACTTCCATCACAAATTACCTTGGCAGCTCTCCAATATCATGGTCATATAAAAAGCAAAGATATGTCGTCCATTTCTAGTATTCTCACTTTCCAAATTTGCTTTTTGAGATTCAAATTATGTGAATTTTGACTAACATTTTAAAATATTTTTAAAGAGGCCAACTTAATATACTATTCACCTAGTTGATCAAAATGATTTTTTTTTTTTTTATATATGATCAAAAGTGCAGTTGACAAAAAAATATGTTTTAAGTAAAAAGGAAAAAAATAAGTGGAATTCGGAAGCTTGCTTCTGAAATATCAGAGCCAGGTTTCGATCCTGGGACCTGTGGGTTATGGGCCCACCACGCTTCCGCTGCGCCACTCTGATGTTGTTGTCTTTACGTTTCATTATAATCTATATATATAAATTACTTACCTACAAGCTATTTTCCATTTGCAATTTTATTTTATCCTTGTAATAATTACGAATGGAACTTCTAATAATCATATAATGTAAAAGAAATATATGAAAACGTAAATTACACATTCAGCTAAAAGCTCAATCAATTCATAATTCCATTCAACGATCCCCTAATCTCTTACTCTTACAACCTTTTTTGAAAAATATTCTTCTAATAACTTAAACGTGATGTTCCGTTCCAACAATATGTCAGGAACGCAACCTATCAATAATTTGAGACAATTTTTTTGATAATCGAGAAATCCATTTGTGACCCGCCATTTGGACCAATCACAACCTTCTAAATTCGAGATAATGGGTCCGCTCCTTTACCCTTCTTCATTTAAATACCGGGCTTCACTTTGCATGGTATGGGGCTTGAATCTACGACCTAAGCCACAAATCCTCCACATTTTGCCTCAAGCTAGGCGTTGTGGACTAATTTGAGACATCATATGGCAACATAGTGGATACGTAAATGTAAATCCAATTCGCAGACAATCAAAGAGAAGATGATAATGAAAAAATAAATATAAATGAATTGACTATTTAAAATTGAGGTCGGATTATTTGATTTTGAACTTTACACGTACATGTTCTTATATCTAAATGAAGGCAAATTTATATGTCAAATTATAACTATTAAAACTATTTCTGATAGTATGAAAATATATTTGATCTTTTTTTCAGAAAAATAAAAATAAAATACCGCTATACAAATTAGGAGGAGGCGAATATGAACTTCATACCCATGTCTTATTACACAACACAAAAGTTACATGAGAAGGCACAACAAACATGAAATCACCAAAGATAAAAACCAAATAAAAATTAAAGTACACAACCAACATATGGATTATTATTTTTACCATATACTTTCAAACAATAAACATAGCATGGGGTATTTATGTAAAGCTCACATGCATAATATTATCAATTGACATGGTGATCATCAATAGCTTTGGTCACACCAATAATGAAGTCCAGCAAATTTACTAGTTCTGGGACATTTTTATTTGGCCTTTCATACTCTATTGTCCAGCTTACCAAATCGATGTCGTATTTTGTTTCGATATGAAGAGTTGCCTTAAAATTATCATATTTATTCACCAGATCTCCTTCAAATTCTTTGAGTGTGAGCATCTTTGTTTCATGATCTATAGCTTCAATTACTTGTTTGGAGATCTTCTTTTCCCCTTCTACCTTACAAAAACAAAAGAATTATTCCCAAATTTCATCATGTATAATCATAAGAGTACCCTTAAGATTTAAGAAAAGAAGAAGTTGGAAATGAGTAACCAAATCGAGTTGCCATGTTGGTAGAAAGGAAAAAGGTTTTATTTCTAGGAAAGTAATTAGTGATTTCTTATTTATTTTCTTGTGTTCTATATGCAATTAAAATATATTATTTAAAAACATCTATCTATATATCTAAGACAAAATTATGAGGATGGGATGAGGGAGGGAGGGAGCGAAGGGCAGGGGTTGGGGGTTGGGTGAGAGTGGGGTATGTTGGGTATTTGCTCTAATCTGTTTCTTACTGTAATTCAATTTTTCTATTTCTAAAGGTAAAATACAAAGTCTCCATATTTGGCTAGTCCTTTTACTTGTAGGAAAGGTTTATGACTTTATAATAATTATAATATTTAATTGTTAATTGGAGCAAGTAAATGTGACACTAAGATAGATGAAAATGATTTCATGAACGGAAAGTAAAGACCGGACTAAGATTTAAAGTTACTGTGTTTTGAGTTTGTTACCGAATCCACTACCTCGTCATAGTTATTGGATTCACATTTAAATATTCATACATATTTAATGAAATTCCTAACACAAGTACATGATCTAAGCAATAGCTACTGGGTTTGTTCGAACCGATTGCTAATACTATCCCTCCATCCCTAGCGGAAAGTTCCGACCCCTTTTTGACGGAAAATATTTTTGTTAAGAAATTTTTAAATATTCAACTTACCAAGGGTATACGTCCAACAAATTTTGGATCCAACGGTTCCAAAGACACCCTCAAGAAGCTCACAACCTTGTACATGCAAAGGGGACATAGTAGAGACATGGTGTGGTTTATTTGTAAAGACATCATGAAACACATCCTTATTAGCCTTCATTTCTATTTTAGCACACAACACAGACTTTAGACCCATTTTACTAAAGACTTGGAAATAAAAAGATGTATGACACTAAAGGAAAATTGTCGAGGAGAAGTGTTGATATCATTTACAATGATTATTCAACAATATATATAGACTAGAAGGGTTTTTTTAATCCTTTTTTAAAATAAAAAATAGTATAACATCCTAATCATGTCCCTTACAACTTGTATTTTATTTTCCCATTATATATAGCAATATTTATTTAGAAAGGTGACATGAATTTCGTTTTTCATGCACTTAGTAGCAGTAATATGCAAATATGTTTAAACCGCTTCTAGCAGTGGTACAATGTAATAATGTTTCAGCTAGAGGTGTTCAAAATCGAATTAAATTGCAAATTGAATTAAATCGAAAAAAAAAACCTGACGACTAACGGTTTGGTTTGGTATTGGAAAAAAAAATTCGACTATACTTGGGTTGGTTTGATTTTAACTAAAAAAGGTCAACTCGAGACCAAACCAACCCGACATTATATATATAGTTTTTTAAAAATTTATTTATACATAAAAGTATTTACTTTGATGTAATATCTGAATATTACTTATACGATTTCATAATTTTTATCTTTTAACATATTTTTTAAAGTTTTTTGAGACTTAGAATTTTGAATGGTCCAATAATGGTTATAGTCCATAGATATTAGTAACTCTAATAAAGCTCAATTCAAAATCAAATCAATACTATGCTAACAAAATAAATTAATTCAACACTAAGAATGACAATAATATTGAATATTTGTTCTTTAGTTTTACATTGGTTTAGACATTTAAAATACATAATCTAATTTTAATTTTTCTTTAATGTTTGATCATGTAACTAATACTTATTAGACTTATTTTAGCATAATTTAGTACTTTTAAATCATGACCATTTTCATTATGACTTTGCAATATTTATTTTATATGATGATTTTATTATTATTTTTATTGAATATTTTATTGTCATCCCTCACCTCATATTTTGTGTTATTTTCTTAAGAAACACCTTAGATAGTTGTGTGTTGGTTGGACTAAAGAAATATTTGGAGCACAAGTTAATTATATGTTTGTATGCATACTTTATCGGAAAAATCCAAAAACCTGAAAAAATTCGAGGTTTATTAGTTTGGTTTGATTTAAAAATTTAAAAATTCAACACAATGGTTTGGTTTGGTATTTGAAAAACCCG